TGACAGGCACCAAATGACGACCAAGAGCGTCTTCTTGGCACCTTCTTTCCACGCTATAAGCATCAGTGCCACGTCCGAAAGCACACAGCACTGAGAAAGAAAATGAAGCGTATATATCGTGTTTATCAATTGAGCCGTTGTACGCAAAACGCTTACAACAATGACAAAAGGATGACAATAGGATAGCTAAAGTGTAGTACAATTGTCGTGGTTATTGGCAGAAGTCTAGGCGAGCGATGCCGCGACAAGGACCTCTCGCGCAGCTGTGGCTACGGTGGCCGCCGCGCGAGCCGCATCTTTGCTGAGCGTTGCGTGGCCAACAAAGTCGATGACGAGCTCTTGGACGCCGGTGGGCAGGCGACAGAGTGGCGTCGCATTGACAAGATCGAGAAGCCAAGCACGTTGCTGCGGCGGGACGTCGGCCGTCGACAAGATGGCGTTGTCGATCATTGCGCCCTGACTCACAAAGCAACCGATGGCTCTGGCGATCATTCCGCTCGGACGCATCATGTCCCAGAAGAGGAGCTTTGCGACGCCTTCACGCGAGGAGTCAACGGACTGGAGGTGAAAGCGGTACGCGGCCGAGCTCTGAATCAGCAGGAGAAGTCCTGGTCGCACGGTCACAAACCCCGTGTCTTGGCTCTCGCGCCCAAGGACCAAGTTGGGACGTGCCCCACTCGGTGGTCCCGAACCCTCGGTACTTGTCGACCAATGCAAGAAGAAGTGCGAGGACAACCCAAGATGCAGCAGCATCCCGTTCCAGGCGATGGCATGGCCCAACGGCGCGTGCACCCTCTACGACAGCACGCCCTCGCTCATGCCAGCCAGTGCAACGTATTCTGCCATTTCGTACCCGGCCAAGTACACGTGTACGCTCGGCAAGTATACGTGGCGTGACGTGAACAAGCCCAAAGGAGAGGTCGCCAAGTGCAGCCTTGAAAACCGCGCCCGCCGTGCTAGCCAAAGTGCAGGCAGCAACGGCTTTGCGTGGGTGGCACAGACAGGCACGTGCGTCCTCAAGTTGATCCCAGAGCCCGCGAGAGTGAGGAAGACGAACCGCGCGACGCTCACGTGCAAGCAATCCGCAAAAGCATAGAGCGCGGTATGTATCACATGCGACAACGGACTCACATTACGAGGTGTTAACGCCGTCGTGTGTCTCCTCCAGGTTGACAGGCACCAAAATGACGACCAAGAGCGTCTTCTTGGCACCTTCTTTCCACGCTATAAGCATCAGTGCCACGTCCGAAAGCACACAGCACTGAGAAAGAAAATGAAGCGTATATATCGTGTTTATCAATTGAGCCGTTGTACGCAAAACGCTTACAACAATGACAAAAGGATGACAATAGGATAGCTAAAGTGTAGTACAATTGTCGTGGTTATTGGCAGAAGTCTAGGCGAGCGATGCCGCGACAAGGACCTCTCGCGCAGCTGTGGCTACGGTGGCCGCCGCGCGAGCCGCATCTTTGCTGAGCGTTGCGTGGCCAACAAAGTCGATGACGAGCTCTTGGACGCCGGTGGGCAGGCGACAGAGTGGCGTCGCATTGACAAGATCGAGAAGCCAAGCACGTTGCTGCGGCGGGACGTCGGCCGTCGACAAGATGGCGTTGTCGATCATTGCGCCCTGACTCGCAAAGCAACCGATGGCTCTGGCGATCATTCCGCTCGGACGCACCAAGCCCCAGGAGAGGAGCTTTGCGACGCCTTCACGTGAAGAGTCACCGGACTGAAGGTGAAAGCGGTACGTGGCCGAGCTCCGAATCAGCAGGAGACGTCCTGGTCGCACGGTCACAAACCCTGTGTCTTGACTCTCACGCCCACGGACCATGTCGCTGAGAAGCACCTACATACATCCGTTGCACATCTCACAACATCTTTTATCGTCGTACCTCGATCGCAGGATTGCGCTTGTGCGGGCCAAAGTCAGCGTACTCGTACGTCTCTCGCAACTCGACCCGCAGCGAAATGTTTTCCGCACCGTACAGAATGACGGCGGTGAAATCGACAGACTCGTTGACAGCGCCCGACCCACGCCGCCACGCCGTCGTCATCGTCGGTGCCTCGGGCGTCACGCGGAGACACTGCACGTGGCAGAGCACCTGGTGCGACTGGGGCTTGCTCGGAAGTCGCCAGCTACGGTCGTCGTCGCCGTCGTCATGACACGATACAGAGTCCGTCCAGAACTGTTTGGCGGCGTCGAGTGTCGGTGGTGCTGGCTGCAACTGGCTCGTGATGGGTCCCTGCGCCTTCTTGAAGGCCCGCAGCGTCTTTTGCACGACAGACGTCGACGGGTCGAGACCATGGTGCTGAATGTACGCATCCCGGAGTAGTCGTAGCTCGTTCTCGTGGCCGCCTTCCAAGAAAACACGCCGGCCATCTTTGCTTGGTATCCACCGGGCGGCATCCAGCAAGGGAAGCACCGTCGAGAGTGTCTCGGCCAGCACCGTATAGAGCGCCGACTGCGACGGATGGATGTTGTTGACGTAGCTCTCCAGCGTCACTTGGCGCGAGGACGGGTCCCACGTCACCGGTGTCGGCAGCATCTGCAGGTGCGGGCACACGGCGTCTGCAAGCGCCATTGACGGAGGCACCTCATGTCGCACGATGGCACTTGGAGAGATTCCCAGTCGCATGTTGTGCGGGTGGACACTGAAGCGAGTTTGGCCATACACTGCGCCGTACATGGCTGGATCGACGACCTCCAAGACGTTGTCAGCCCAGGACGCGGCAGCTTCGAGCGGCGCCAGATGATGGCCGAGCGACGAGAGCAAGTCGACCGAGAGCGCGTCGTCGGCATGGTACACACCGCGGGTCGTGTTGGGCACCAGGCCAAGGGGACACACAAGCTCGTCGCGAATGAGTTGGAGCTCGCCATGGATGACGTCAGTATCTCCCATGAAGGCACCAGGCGGAAGGGTCGGCAGAGCCTCCTTCTTCCACCAGAACGGCTCGTCGAGGATCGTGCAGAGAGCTGCCATGTACTCGAGCTCGACCTTGGCATAGGCTCTCGCGTCATGTCGCGCATAGCACCACACGTCATAGGCATGTGGTGTGTGGATCGATCTCTCGACGCACGGCTGCCAAAAGATTTTGTGCAGCGGCGGTGCCGGTGCCGTTGACGCGATGGTACGCGCGATATCGCGGGCCAGGCCACGGAAACCGGAGTTCGCGACGGTCTCGAAAAGTGGCGGGGACTACAGAGACATATTGACGACTCGAGCAACATCAAGTAGGCCATACATGGTCACCCATGCCGCAGTTGGTCGTGTGCGGCAGCAGAATGCGCGCCGAAGCCTCATTTTGCAATTGACAAGCGCGAAGCAGCGGAGGGCAGCCTTGCTAATACATCATGCGCGGCGTCAACTCGTCACAGTAGTCATTTGTGCGTGCCCTCGTACCTGATCGCGCTGGTTGGGATCTGCGCCCAGTTCCAACAACAACGCCACAAAGTCGGGGTTGCGGACCGCGTCGTGAAGAAAGCACTAGCAGGCGAATGTGATCACACTCGGTGACTATACGGTGCCCATACCTCGGACTTGAGGTCGACCTTCGACGCTAGTAGCGCCACGTTGGAAGCGCTCTTGGCTTCAAGTGCCTTCTTAAGAACCTCCGCGTAGTACTAGAGAACGTCGTGATTGAGCCGCGATGGTACCAAGAGCGGCAATCAATCATGAATGTAGTCACCGCAGGTGGCTGGACGCTAGCATGCACCAGCATTTTCTCGATCAGTGCTGTGTCGAGGTTGATCTTGACAGCTTGGCTGAGCGGGGCCATATCAAGGCACAACTTGGACGCATTATAAATTGGCTTGCGCCAGTCTTCGGTCGGATCAATAAAGCCGAGACAGTTGCCGTCGGCCACCGGTGCTAGGAGCTCGACGGCCTCCCACGATCGCTTTTGGAGCGCAACGGACAGAAGCGGCATCTATACCACACCGCACGGATCACACGCAAACCGATAGATAGCATCGAAGGTACCATGTTGTCTTGCTTGTTGGGATTCCCGCCGTGCTCGAGGTAGAACTTCAAGTACGCAATGTTGGCGACCATGATTTCGTTGCCCTATAGAACTCGTCACAGTCAGCACCAATGGCGGCGCGTGGAAGAGTGACGATGACGTACGATCACCGGCATGTCGACAAAGCGCGCGCCATGGGCCAAGAAAAGCCGCATGCGATCCACCTTGAAGTCGGACCAGCCCATTCGACAAAACCACTCCTACGGACACACTTTAAAGGATCGAGTCGCAACGACACCAGTATACGGTCATGGCATCGGTAATGTTGGCCCCGGCGGCGATGAGAGCGGGGATGAGCGCGTTCGCTGCGTCGTCGGAGCTGATCGAACTCGCAGTGAGAAGCAGGCTCTGCTTCCCCTGTGCATCAAAATAGGTGTGCCACGTTCTCAAGAGTCGTACCTGGCCAGATTCGTTGACGTCGGCGCCGGCGGCAATGAGGGTCAGCGCTATGTCCGTCCTGCAATAGTAAATGGCGTTGTACAGAGGACTCGATAGGTTCTGCGCTCCAAGATCAGCACCATATATAGTATGCGCTGTCGCTTGTATGTCGTATACCTGGTCGTATGTGTTGAGAAGGGCGCCTTGCTTGATGAGGCAGTGGACGCTGTCGAGTTCGTTGTGGCCCACTGCAACCGCCAGAGCCGTCCGGCCCGCCTACAAGGCGACGGATAAAAGAGGCGGAAGCTTCGATCTCGAATGCTCTGGGTTCTACCCGATCACGGACGTTGATGTCTTGTACGCGCGAAAGAATTGCCTCGAGGACCGTCACGTTGCCGGCCATGACGGCCACGTGCAGAGGTGTGCCGCCAAGCTAGAATACATGGAGGCCATTACCGACATGTTTCTTGCATGAGATACGTACATCGTCGAGCACGGTGTCGACGTCGAGGTCCTCAGGGATCGTCCCGCTGCGAAATTCATCGAGCAATATCTGGTACGCAGTCTACGCACAGAGTCCGTAAAACGCCATCGAAGACGAGGTGGAGGAGACCTTTGGCAGGGGCGCTGCCGATCCAAAAATTGACAGCGCTGGTGTCGAGGCGCGCCGCACCATGCCGGGATGGAAGGCGGGTGAATTGGATTGTGCGCGCCTAGACAAAAAAGTGTGTGCTGCAGTGCAGTAACGGTATAAGAGACCCGATGGCGTGAGCTTATGGCATGCATGGATACGGTTCCTGTCTTTTAAATTGCCTGTCTTTTGTGCATTTGGAGAATTGACCAACCTTCCGCAAACGCATGCTGTGTCACAAAATCCCACTCTGCAATATGTGCGTGGTACACACGCCTGGTACGATGCATGTAGGCTCGGGGAGTGAGCGGAACACGCGTGAAGGGTCCGCCCAACGACCAAGCGCTGGCGTCAACCCCCACGCATTCTGGCGTAGCGCTGCGCACGCAAAAATATCGTTGAGAGTTTCGTGTTGTCAAAAAGAAGTTTTCGCCACCACGGTGGATTGACATATTGAGGTTGGCGGAGCCCATACACGTGTCGACGCGGCCCCTTACTGGATCGAGTCCCTTGACTCACACAACTGTACTACGCTCCACCAAGTACACCGGTGCACGCAAGCTTGGCATTATTCCTGTAACGTGTCTTCCAGCATGGACGTGTCGGCACAGAAGAGTGTGACCGTTGGTCGCATACAGTGGTGGGGCACTGGGTGTGAACCTAGCCCACGTCAACACCACTAGGCCGGGACAAGGCGATGTGTGTTTGCATGTTTAGTCCTACGGGAGAAGCCCGTTGATATGGGACTGTACGTCCTTTGGCAGCAGTCTGTAGACGTAGCTTAGCTGTCACTTTCCGTTCTGCCTCTTAGTACACTAGCCGGTGTTTAGGGAGTACGGCCTCCCTCTGTCTGGTGTTTCACGTTTTAGTTGTTGCCAGGGAGCGGAATCGGTCACAAAGAGAAAACATCCTGCGTAGTTTGGAGTATCTTTAAAGCTCAATGTGCTCGATGTTTTCGTCGACAGCTCTGTCTTCTTTGGCAATGTCTGCCTTCATGCGCTCAAACATGGAGTTTTCCTTGGTCTTGGTCGCTTCCTTGATGACGAGCGCACTTGGGTACTTGCCGA